TCTCTGTCCCTCCCCCTGCTTGTGTTCTTTCTCTGTCTCTCAAAAATAATAAATAAATGTTTAAAAAACCTATTTAAAAAAAGGACTAAAATAGGTCCGTTTTGGCAAATGTTTTATTGGTGCTGGACTGAAAATTCGGGCTTGTTTGCGGGGCCCGGGGCCGGGCTCCCCGTGTGTGTCCACGCACCTCGCCTGCGCTGGGGGGCACGTGACACCGGGCACCTGCGGTTTACCCCTTACTGACGTGCCATCTCCCCTGCCCACGACCTGTCCTCACAGCTGGCCCTTCTTGTCTGTGGGAGAAACGTGGCACGGCTCCAGCAGCAAGTTCTTTCTTGTTCTTTGACCTTTAGCTCCTCTAGACTCACTGAAAACCACAGGTAGTTTCCTGAATTCTTTGTGATAGAAAGAGTCTATTTCAAGTCCTTTGGCACAAGGGACGTGAGCCATTCTGTCCCCCGCTGTGATGGGTGCGTGCATGTGTGTATATGTTATTTGCTACTTATATGTTTACTTACTTTGTTTCATTAAGGCATCAGTGTCTTTCTGATCGAAGTCCTCATTTACCGACCATGGAAACGGAACAAGAGAAAGTCAGCGTGAGCAAGGCGCCGAGCACAGACTCGGCCTCATACCGCTGCTCTGCATGCCATGGGGACGAGGCCTGGGGGTCCGGCCATCCCACCCGGGGGCGGGCCAAGTCCCGCAGCCTGTCGGCCTCGCCCGCCCTGGCAAGCACCAAAGAGTTCAGGTACAAGGACCCCCCCTCCGGCCACCATCCTCACCTGCACACTCTGGCTTCCTAAAACCGGGATGGAGGTTCTTTTAAGGAGTATGTGCGGGGGGGGGGAGGGGGGTTGGGGGTGCTGACTAATACGCATGCACGGACAATGGGGTGGGGGCCAGGTTCCAAGAGCAGGGCACAGATACCTGCCTGGTGCACAGCACAGTGTGACTGTCCCTTTCTGCCGTGTCAGGCCGTGCTGGCGCCAACTCTGGGCGTTGAGGGGTGTAGGCAGTGCCTGCAGGCGTGGTCAGCAGGCCCCCTGGGGTGGCAGGCGGAGCAGGGCCTCAGGGTGGCAGGCCAGCCCCCGCCCCCGCCCCGGGAACCGTCGCCAGCAAGCCCGCAGCGTGTGTTGTCACACGATGCGCTTGGGTGACAGCGCTTTGCGTGGAGAGCCTGCCAGTAGTGTTGCAGTGGCGCCCGTGGATGTCACCCTGGCTTCTGGAACAACAAACAGGGCGAGTTTTAGGTAGAAGCAAGCAAGGGTCACGTCTATCAAATGCAAAGGGGAGAATTGGGTAAAAAGCGTGTGGTTCTCCCAGGAGAGGGGGACGAACCCGCAGCGCCCTTCTCTTTTGCCTGGTGTCTGCCCGGCCTTCTGTGTGGAGAGCTCTCAGCCACACGCCTGGGAGAGGCGGCCGCAGCACTGTGGCCTCGGCCTTGGCCTGGGTTTTCGGTCGGTCTGCCTCCCGGCAGGACTGTGTTGGTTTTGTGGGGTTCGGCCCACATCCTTTCTCGTTCAGAGACCGCAGAGCCTGGCGCAGTGACAGAGGTCAAGGGTGGCCTCTGCCTGTGGGTGTTGGTGGAGGAAGGAGAGAAGAATGTGCCCAGTCATCCTGGTTCTCGAGCAGCAAACATTAAACGTAAACACTCACTGAGTGAGACCCACCGTGACCTGCATTTTTCCCTGAGGTTTTCACAGCCTGCCCCGTGCACTCTCGGGGGCCCACTGGCCTGTCCCTGTGGGGGTGTCCTCCTCACTCCCTCAAGCCCTTGTCAGGGTGGGCGCTGGACCCCCGAAGACAGGGAGAGACGGAGGGCAGCCACCTGGCGGTGTCCCCAGGACATGTGCTGCCCGTAGCCCCTGTGGTTGGTGTGACCATGGCTGAGGCATTCTTCACTTATTGGACGAGTCGGGGCATTCAAGTAGAGTCCTTCTTCCTGACTGTACAGCTCCGTGTGAGCATTTTTGTTAGAATTTTGATCTACATAATTCAGGGAGGGCCTCTCGGGTCTTGATTCCCAAGTGTAGACCCCAGGACAGGCCCTCAGACAGACTTGGCGAGAGAGACTGCTGCAGTCCAGATTTCCAGGCCTGTCCCCAGAGGTCGCCTTCCTTTTTTCTGGGGTGGGGCCTGGGCACCTGCCCTGGAGTGGGGTCCTTTTCCTAAGGAGGGCTGCCAGTAGGCCCCCAGCCTCTCTGATTGCTGCTGCCACGCAGACAGGGTGTGGGGCTCAGGTGGCGCCGTGCACCGGGGCGGGTCTCCCGGGTCCATCATGCAGACACTGGCCAAGGGATGGAGCACAGGGCTTTCCGGGGGTCTGGTGTCTGTACCTAGGTCTGCTCACCTGCTGTGTCCCCTCTCCACACAGGAGGACTCGCTCCCTGCACGGGCCCTGCCCGGTGACCACGTTTGGACCAAAGGCCTGTGTACTGCAGAACCCCCAGACCATCATGTGAGTGCTGGTGCTGCTGCTCGGGAGCGCGTGCTGTGGAATGTTCTGACACGGGGAGTGAGAGATGGACTCGAGTCAGCAGAAGCCACGGGGCCTCTCCCCCGGCCCCGATGAGCGAGGGCCGTGCTGCCCTGGAGACAGCAGCCGGGAATCCGGCCAGGCTCTGCGTCTCAGGCACCGCAGGCCCAGTGGGCTTCCGCTGTGATCTGTAGGGTTAACTGTTTTGTTTCCTGTAGTAAAAAGTCTGGGAGGAAACTGGTATATTTCACACCGGATACTGGTTGGGTCAGACATGCTTCTTTAGTTACCCTTTAATAAGAGGATACACGTGTTTACCGAGACGGTGCACTCGTGAGTAGGGGAGGGGCAGAGGGAAAGAGAGGGAGAGAGAGAATGTTAAGCCCAACGCAGAGCCCGACGTGGGGCTCAATCATCTCATAGCCCTTGGATCATGACCTAAGCTGAAATCGATTCAGACACTCAACCGAGCCACCCAGGTGCCCCTAATAATTTTTTCTTTTTTTTTTTTTTTAATGTTTTATTTATTTCTAGGAGAGAGAGAGAGAGAGACAGCGTGAGCAGGGATGGGTCAGAGAGAGAGGGAGTCACAGACTCTGAAACAGGCTCCAGGCTCAGAGCTGGCAGTCAGCACAGAGCCCGACGCGGGGCTTGAACCCACGAACCGCGAGATCATGACCTAAGCGAAAGTCGGACGCTCAACCGACTAAGCCACCCAGGCGCCCAATAATTTTCAAATTAGACAGACAGCAATTGGATTTTTTCAAAACCCGGTGTTCACTTTTGAGAGACGCCTCACCGCCTGGGTGCGGCTGTTCCCCACGCTCTGGGTGAGGGCCGTGGCCAGGACTCCCAGGGCATCGCCTGCGGCTGCAAGGTGCCCAGGTGAGAAGCTGTGTGAAAACTAAGCAACCAAGCTGATTTGTCTGGACTGAGTCTCCGGCTTCTCCCATCTAGAACTTGAGGGTCTGGTGGGGCGAGAGCCCGGTGCAGGGCTCTGTGTGCCGGGCTGGCTGTGGGTTGTGGCACACGAAAAACCCACGCTTGCTGACATTCCTGCTTTCTGTTAACTAGCAGAATCCCACCCACCTGACCCTTGTGCCGAGCTCCCCAGCCTCCTTGCAGTCCAGGCCTCTTGAGGAACCCCCAGTGGGACCCCCTCCTTCAGGGCGAGCTATGGGGATCCCACATCTTACACAGGTGTGAGGCCTGTGGGCTCAGGGGTGCTTCCGTGACTGGTGGGTCTGGGGGCCTTTCCTCTCCGTGAGGCGGCCCCGGGCGGTGGGGACCCTAGGTCTCGGAGTCCCAGCCCCTCTGAACTGGCTCCAGGTGGTCAGCACAGGGGATCGGGACAGCGGCTGTACTGTGTACTGCCACCTCCAGGCTTCCCAGGGAATCGCTGGGCAAACTGGGATGTCTGGTGAGCCCTGAAACCCAGCAACACGACTGCCCTGCCTCCTACAGCCTCTGGGGGCCAAGCCTGGCGCTGGAATGACGCCTTCGTGTCCCCGTGTGGCCCGGGTACTGTCTGCAGCTGTGTGGGTACTGCTTCCCGACTCAGGACGCAGGCCCCTGCCCATGTGGCACAGCCCTCCCAGCACCCGGCAGCCCGCTCCACACAGCGGCCACTCGGGCGGCGCCCACCCAGGTGCCCCCAAGCCCAGAGCTCCAGCCGCCCGCCGCCGCCCCACCCTCTCCCGTGCCTTCCTGTCCGCCCTGGCCCAGCCTGGCCCAGCCTGGGTCCCTCACCGCCTGAGGCCCTCCCTGCGCTTCCTGCTCTTGGCAGAGCGGTTTTCTCCTCGTCACTCGGCTTGGCCTAAGTGCCACCTTGAGTGGCTTCTCACTGTCCAGCCTTGATTATCCGTCATTTACTCCCAGCCGAGCCACAGTCCCGCTCCCCAGTGGGGTGTGTGTGTGTGTGTGTGTGTGTGTGTGTGTGTTGGCTTTGGGGGCCTCAGGCAATCAGATGAGGTGGTTGGGTGGGGGCGCCCCAAGCAGGGGGGCAGATAGCCCAGGAGGGTCCCTGGAGCCACGAGTTGGGTTTGAGGAGGGAGCGGCCTTCTCTGCCCTTTCTAGCCCACGTGCCCAGCGTGGCCTGTAGGGCTGCCGCCTCTGGGGGACGGGGCTCCTTTCCTCCACCTTGTACCTGTCCGTCTCCGGAGCTGCGCCTGGCTGGGCCGGGGCTCCGCGTGTCCTACCCTAATGTCTTCTCTGATGTGCGCAAAAGCAAGGTAGTGTAGGGCTTGATCACAAAGAAATTCTGCTTCCTATTTTATTGTCTGAAATTTCGCCATGAGTGTGTGTGCATTTTCTCTTATGTTGAAACATGTGGAATTCTCGACACCTGACTGCCCTTGGCCGTGGTTCAGATTGCTCCCCTGCCAGCTGTCAGGTGTCCTGGACTCGTATCCCACACCCACAGCCTGCGTGCTGGGGAAGGGTCAGCATCCCAGCTTGCAGGTGACACGGCAGGAAGCTGAGTCACGGTTTGCACCCAGGCCTGTGCAGGACGCACTGTGGTGGCCAGAGGGGACCGCAGGCCATGCCTGCTTGGGTCAGCGGTGAGGGGGCCGTCCTCGCTTCTTCCGGGGCCCGCAGCCCAACAGAGTGACGACGCTGGGAGAGTACACACCCCTCCACCTGACCGAGGCCTGACAGCTCCTCCCATGGGGCCGAGCCAGTTCCACGGCCCGGCTCAGGTTCCTGTGTGGCTGGGACGTGTCGCTGCACCCTGGGCGCTGGACAGGGCATGTCCTTATCTCTGAGGGTGGCCGAGCCCCGCCAGATGGCTTAGTGGGGAGCAGGGCCCCTCAGGTCCAGCTTCTTTGCTGTTGGAAGTGATCCTGATGACTTTTTGTCTCAGATATGTGATTGGCCGAGAGGATCGTGTGAACAGTGAAAAGATTAAATACGATTTGTTTGATTTTTAACTTTAGGGAGCTTTTTTGCCTTAGGTGTTTTATGCAATCTCTCAGAAGTCCCTCTCGGACTGTTTGGCTTTCGGTGCTGAGGTTGCAGGAATTGAGTGTATGGTGCAGGTGTGCAGTGGGGGGAGTTTTGGTGGGGGAGCTCCTGTTGTTAGCGAAGTGCAACTGAAGTGCTGTGCCCGGAGCAGCCGGGTGCCCCGCTCATGAGCCACGCATGTGACCTGGGCGGGCGATGAAGCTCGTAGAGGATGTAATGAGCCACCCATCCCCTTGCAGAAGCGCCTGGAAAGGGTAAGTGCTGGTCAGTCAGCAACTGGGTGAGGTCAGACACCTCACCTCTCATGTTGCTGGTCTGTGTCGCCGTTTTTGTGGAGCCGTGAAGTTTTCAAGGGAATCCACTGCCCCTTGAGGCATGGCTTGGAGCAAGTGTCTAAGTTGGAGACTTGGTTAGAAAGGGAAGTCGTTCGGCTGGCACGCAGCGCAGCTTTGAGGACCTTGCCACCCGGCCGAGGGCAGGGGCCGCCCTGTCCGCACTCTGCTCCCCGCAGCTCCTTCTCCATGTGGGTCCCAGCGGTTCCAGACGGGTGCGGATGGGTGTTCACCGGGCTTTACACTGTATCCGGGGCCCCAGCTGGGGGGCTCTACTTCCAGCGGGGCGTGCCCTCAGCGCAGACCCACTGCCCATGCGCCACGGTGCGCCTGGTCTCCCAATGCCCCCCTGTACTGGGCCATGGCCAAGGCCGAGCACTGGGAACTGAGAGGGCAGGATGCTCACAAGCTTTTTAAAAAATTAGACCCTGAGGCACCTGGGGGGCTCAGTCAGTTGAGCATCTGACTTCTGCTCAGGTCATGATCTCACGGTTTGTGAGTTTGAGCCCCACATTGGGTTCTCTGCTGTCAGGACAGAGCCCACTTCTGATCCTCTCTTTCTCTCTGTCTCTTCCCCATTCGCACCCTCTCTAGTTCAAAAATAAACATTAAAAAAAGACGCTAGGGTACCTGGGGGGCTCAGACGGTTGAGCATCTGACTCTTGATTTCAGCTCAGGTCGTGATCCCAGGGTTGTGGGATTGAGCCCCCTGTTGGGCTGTATGCTGAGCGTGGAACCTGCTTGGGATTCTCTCTCTCTCTCTCTCTCTCTCTCTCTCTCTCTCTCTCCCTCTCTCCCTCCCTCCCTCCCCCTCTCTCTCTCTCCTTCCCTCCCCCTCTCTCTCTCTCCCCCCCAAAGGAAAAAAAATATACCCTATTATTTGGGCAGTTGTCAGTTCACAGAAAATGGGGGTGCAGCTGCAGAGATTTCCCACGAGCCCCCGCCCCCACCATCAGCCTCGCCTCTAGGGGCCGTCTGTGGCCGCGGACAAAGGACATGGACGTGGCATCGCCTCCCAGAGGGCCTGGTCTACAGAGGGTGACTCGCTGCTGTGCCCTCTGGTTTGGATGAAGCTGTAATGATGTGCGGCCACCATGGGGGTCACACAGAGTAGTTTGCCCTAAAATCCTGCCACCCACCGCTTTTTAAATTTAGTTTTGAGAGAGAGAGAAAGTAGAGGGGAGTCAGAAGGAGAGGGAGAGAGAGAATCCCAACCAGGCTCCACACTGTCAGCCTGGAGCCGGACTTGGGGCTCAAACCCATGAAACCGTGAGATCATGACCTGAGCCCCCCCTGGAGCCCCTGCCACGCACGGTTTAACAGTGTGAGTTTTAAGTGTAAAAGTTAAGGGTCACCTGAGTCGTTCGTGCCGTGCTGTGGATACAGGGCCATACCCCTCCCATACAAGTCCGCAGGATGCCTGTGTCCTCGGGGGGAGGGAGGGGGGTCTTCAGTGGTCCCTGGGGACAGAATCCCCAGTGGCTGGCATGAGTGTTGGTAGGAGGCCTGCCGTCCTCCACTGGGTGCAGGGAGGGGGCAGAGCAAAGAGCAGCTCTGGCCTGGGGTCTCCTCGAGCGGGTCTGTGTGACGCCTACGCCAGAGGAGCCACCGATGAGCATCGTTACAAACAAAAGGCCTGTGCACGTGAGGCCCAGGCTGGGCGGGAAGGTCGTGGGTGCAGGGGGTGCAGCGGGCAGCAAGGGGCTCCAGCGGGGGTGGGGGGGCCACCAATGGGACGCGCAGCTGGGAGGAGGGCAGCCTGGGAGCTTTCAGGAGGCCAGGCCCACACGGGCCAGACAGGCCCCCGGCCGAGCGGCCCGAGCAGGCAGCTTCCAGCACACGGTCCAGGGCCCAAGCGGCCTGTGTCCGCGGATGTGGGGCGCCTGAGCGAACGCTCCTCGCCCCTCACAGGCACATCCAGGACCCTGCCAGCCAGCGGTTGACGTGGAACAAGTCCCCAAAGAGTGTTCTTGTCATCAAGAAGATCCGGGACGCCAGCCTGCTGCAGCCTTTCAAGGAGCTCTGCGTGTACCTGATGGAGGCGAGTGGGCCAGGCTTGGGGGGTGGCGACCCCGGGACCCCCCCGCTGCACCCTCACTCCGTCGGCGTTGGCTGGGTTCCGGCCTGGAGATTGGAAACGTGCTTGCCAAGGCTGCGTGCTCGTCGGGGCCACGGGCCTCCGGAGGGCTGGCCTCCTGCCCGGGTTCTGGGTCTCTGATCTCAGAGCTGGCAAGGTCAGGAGGCCCGTTTCAGGAAAGTGACTTCTTACGCAGGTGTCACAGAGCCTCCGGAGAGAGAAATGTGGGCGAGCAGGTCTGAGCGATCTGCCGCCAGGACTCAGGAGCCGTCTCCTCCCGTCATCATAAAGTGCTAAGGCCCGAAATCAGGGCTACCCTGTGTGTTAACTAACTTGAATTTAAGTAAATAACTTTATTTTATTATTTTTTTATAAAGTGGTATGGTTTAAAATTTTTCTTTAAAGAGATTTTTATTTTAATTTTTTTAATGTTTTATTTATCTCTGAGAGAAACCGTGTGAGCAGGGGAGGGTCAGAGAGGGAGACACAGAATCCAAAACAGGCTCCAGGCTCTGAGCTGTCAGCACAGAGCCCAACACAGGGCTCGAAGCCACCGACCGTGAGATCATGACCTGAGCCGAAGTCGGACGCTTAACCGACTGAGCCCCCCAGGTGGCCCTAAATAAATAAATTTTTAAAGATAAAATGCTAAGGTTTAAAAGGAGTCTTTATGGAAGAGCAGCGTGATCTGAACTGGGTCTTGTTGGCCGAGCTGATGTGCTTGTCTCCCTTGTAGGAGAACAACATGATTGTATACGTGGAGAAGAAAGTTCTAGAAGATCCTGCCATAGTGAGCGATGACAACTTTGGACCAGTGAAGAAGAAGTTCTGCACCTTCAGAGAAGGTGCGTTGGTCCTCGGCTCTGTCCCGTGGCTTATCGGCATCGTTGCCCTGGACCTGGCAGAAGCTCTGAGCGTTCCTGCCCGGCACGGGCAGCTTGCCCCGTGGGGTGTCGCAGCCTGCTGTGACCCCTTCTCTTTTGTGTGTTGTTCTGTCTTCTAGATTATGATGACATTTCCAATCAGATCGACTTCATCATCTGCCTGGGAGGGGATGGGACCCTGCTTTACGCCTCCTCCCTTTTCCAGGTGAGGTTTCCGGGTGGTTCCGGCCTCGTGTTGAGTCAGGAGGTGCTTTCCCAGTGAGGGTTCCCGACGCTTCTTGTACCTCGTGGCTTTATACCACGGGGGAGAGGAGTTTTACGGTGTCCTCACTCTGACACAGACTGAACAGATTGTCAGTTTGGTTATTTGGCAGAAGAGCAGGTTTGCAGGTAATGGCAAATGACGCGTCTCCTCCGTCCTGGCCTCCGGCTGCGATAGGTCAGGCGTCTCCCTCCTCGTCGGGGCGCTGTTGGCCGCGGGTGCGGGCGGGCACGCAGGCCTGGGCTGGGCGAGGGGAGTGGCCGGAGGAGGGGGCCACCCGCCAAGCAGAGCCGGCACCTCGTGGCCAAGGTGAGGGGCCCACGGCAGGGGGTGACGCCAGACGTGCGAGTCTGCACGGGAGCCCACCTTCCCTCACAGAGCAGGCGCCGGAGGGCCCCGGCTGGGGCGCGTCAGAAGGGGCGGCGTGGGGGGCTCTGGCGCGGTCCCTGCCGCCCCCAGCGGCGCTCCGCGTGGCCAGCGGGCCGGGCCGTCCTGTTGCCCTGTCTCGCCTCAGCTCCGCGCGCCGCTGCCCCCCCGCCCGCCTGCCGACCTCCCCTGGGGTCACTCCGAATGAGCACTGACCGTGCACTCACGTGCCTGTCCCCTCCCAGGGGCCGTCGGGGGCGGGACCATCGGTGCCAGGGCCACCTCGGCCCTCGGCCCGCTGACCACCCTGCCTCGTTGGCTCACAGGGCAGCGTGCCTCCGGTCATGGCCTTCCACCTGGGCTCCCTGGGCTTCCTGACCCCTTTCAACTTTGAGAACTTTCAGTCCCAAGTTACTCAGGTGATACAGGGTAAGTGGGCATGTTCTGGAACCTGCAAGCAGTTCTGAATATGGACTTGTCTTCTTACTTGGTGTTGGGGGTTTTTTTACGATGTGTAGAGCCACACTTCTTAAGTGTTTGAAAATTCAGAGATTTAAAATTTTTGCATGGTTCAGACGTTTCTTCCTAACGTGGAGAAGTTGAGGCCACAGCGCGAAGCTACCGTGTGTGCTGGTTGGTAGCAGTGCAGTGACTCTCAGAGAAGGCACAGAGAGGTGCCGCTCTGGACTGGGGAGGGGCGGGGGGCCTCTGGTCAAGCGGTGATGCCTCTGCCTCCTGTGGGTGCCACCCCACCCCTGCTGGCCCCCAGGCAATGCAGCTGTTGTTCTTCGGAGCCGTCTGAAAGTCAAGGTCGTGAAGGAGCTCAGAGGGAAGAAGATGGCCGTCCCCAACGGGATCAGCGAGAACGGAGTGCTGGCCGCCGACCTGGATGCGGAGCTTGGGAAGCAGGTCATGCAGTACCAGGTCCGTGGACGCGTGCCCTCGCCGGACTCCCGGCCTTGCCCTGCCTGTCACGTGCCCTCAGGGAAAGGCACAGGGTGGGGGGACTCTGGGCTGAGCCCGGGGTGGGGTGGGCAGGGCCCGACCCAGGACCTCCCAGAGAGCCCAGGGACAGAGCAGGTGCCTGCTGGGCGGGCCACCCGGGGCAGCCCTGACGGCCCCTCCCAGTGTGCGGTGGCCTCGGCCCCCAGGTCCTGAACGAGGTGGTGATCGACAGAGGCCCTTCCTCGTACCTGTCCAATGTGGATGTCTACCTGGACGGGCACCTCATCACCACGGTGCAGGGTGACGGTAGGTGGGCGCCTGGGGTCCCCCAGGGTGGGGGTGCGCAGGAACCCGCGGAGAGTGACCCTGCGGCCTGTCCACCAGGGGTGATCGTCTCCACCCCGACGGGCAGCACGGCGTACGCAGCCGCCGCCGGGGCCTCCATGATCCACCCCAACGTGCCGGCCATCATGATCACGCCCATCTGCCCCCACTCGCTGTCATTCCGGCCCATCGTGGTCCCCGCGGGGGTCGAGCTGAAGGTCAGAGTCCACCCTGCACCCTCTCTGGCTTGAGCTCTTGTCTGGAACCTGTCCTGTGATGCTGACCACCCTGCGCCGCCGCCTGAGACCCCAGCACGTGCCGGGCCGTGGGCCCTCCCTTGCTGGGCGCGGGAAGGGGCCCCCACTCTCCTCCTTGGCTGGCTGGCAGCGCTGAGAGCCGGGCCGTGGGCCCTGAAGGGGTAGAGATAGGCCCTCCTGGGTGGGGGCGGGGTGTGCAGAGGGCACCTGCCTGCCTCACGCTCCCTCCTTCGGTCCGGCCCAGGCTGGGGTGCCCCGGCTGCGAGCCCTGGTGCACAGGACCGTGTCTGCAGGTCACAGAGAGAGGGGACGGGACCCAGACCCCTGGCCAGCGTCCCTAACCCCGGGCGGATAGTCCACGGATGGGACTCAATGGCCGCCAGTCCTGCTTCCCAGGACTGATGTCGGCGAGACAGAGGCTAATGCCGCAGGGCCCGGGCCTGGCCTTGGCCTAGTGTGGGTGCCGTGGACACCTTCGTGGTTCCTGCTGGCCAGAGCTGCCCTCCCAGGGTGGGGGTCGGGTGCTCGGCTACACTCACGAGTCCACACCTACCTGTCCTGCTTGACCCTCACAGATCATGCTGTCCCCAGAAGCAAGAAACACCGCGTGGGTGTCCTTCGACGGACGGAAGAGACAGGAGATCCGTCATGGAGACAGGTGTGCGCGCCTCGAGGCCAGAGCGGGGTGTGGCGGGGAGGTGTGGGCGTGTGTCGTACACGGGTGACAGACCCCCGGCCTGCGCTCCTGCCCTGGTGCACGGCTGACCCCGGCCCGTGGCTGGCCGTGAGGTGGGACAGGCTCCAGCCCCAGGCTGTGAAGCAAGTGGTGTGAGCAGAACGGGAATGGTCCCCAGCCGGACTGGGGGTGGCCGTGGCCCTCGGGGAGGGGTGTCGGCCCAGTGCTGTGGGCTCACCTGTTTGTGCTGCATTCTCCCCACCCCCACCCCCACCCCCACGGCCTCAGCATCAGCATCACTACCTCTTGCTACCCACTTCCCTCCATCTGCGTCCGGGACCCCGTGAGTGACTGGTTCGAGAGCCTGGCGCAGTGTCTGCACTGGAATGTGCGGAAGAAGCAGGCACACTTCACGGACGAGGAGGAGGAGGAGGAGGAGGAGGAGGAGGAGGAGGGGGAGGGCCAGGCCTGAGCTGCTGTCCGCACCCGGGACCCAGAGTCCCAACGCTGCTCCGCTGCCTCCCTGCCACCCCCCCTCCGGGCCGGGCTGTGCGCCCCGCTCAGCTGTCACAGGTCTCGGCGCTTTCCTTTGTAGCCAGAGGAGGAGCCGGGATCTGCCTTTTGTCGACCAGATCAGCTGTTTTTAACATTTTAAATCTGACTCCTTTTTTGCATTTCTGAACAAGAAAACTGGCGGCGGGGACTCTGAAGCGGACGCCGTGCTGTGTGGCCCGGCAGAGCCTGGGTCCCGGCGCAGGGACGCCCAGCTGGCTGTGCTTTTTGTACTTTCTTGTCAGGAAATTTGTGCTTAAATCAGTCTGTTGAAATTCGGAGGGGATCAGAATGGATGGATCTGTCTTTCCGTGTCGAAAATAAATGTCTCGTAGCCAAAAACCTCACTTTAAGCTACTACGATTTCCCCCTTAAATCCTGCACCTTTTCCGCCGAAAGGACTCGGAGGAGATGCTTCTGCAGAGAGCGGTTTGGTATTCGATCGGCTGACGGGCGGAGGGTCGCCCCTCCCTCCTGCACCTCATCTGGGCCCCCAGCACCCCCTGCTCCCTGCTGTGGGGTGACAGGAGCCGGCGGGGCGCCCCGGAAAGTATTTGCAATCCTGTGTCTACTTCATAGAGATTAAGCTTTCCGAACTGCTGTGTGTGGATTCTGTCGAACACGCTGAACATTTCAGAGGCAAGGGGGTTCGTACTGTTGGGAAGTGGAGCTTCGTTCCGGTGTTTACCCGTGTCCTGTGTGACGCAGTGTGCTGGGACCACTGTGTTCGGCATCGTCGCCGCAGAGGCGACGGTCCAGGAGTGAAGGTGCTTCTCCCTGGGGAGCCGCCGGTCAGGAGGAAGGAGGTGGCGGGACGTCCTGTGTCCTTTCAGCTCTTGCTTCTCCCCGTGGGTCTTGGGCTTCCGAGGAAGCTGCCAGCATTCCGGTGGCCCCTCCGGCCCCTGCTGGTGGCTGCCTGGCAGACGTCCCCATGCGGCCGTCTGTTTCTGAGTGACTGATTTCTTTCTGAGCTGCATTTTTAATCTGTTAAGGTGGCAAGAACAGAAGAGACAGGGCTGTGCCTTGCTCTCCGGGAGAGTCATGTGCCTCATTCTGGAGCTTTCTAGAAAGGCTCTGGGGCCGTGTGTGCCGCCACCCTTGGCCAGGGGTCTCTGCACGGCGGGCTGTGTGGCTGAGCGCTGTCTCCTGCGTCCGCGCCTCAGCGTCTGTGGTGCTCGGCCGTCGGCGTGGGACTGCGAAGTGGGCCCTCACCACCATCTGCCCACAGGCACGGGGCGCGGCTGGAGGCCCGCCGCCTGGTCCCCCTGGAGCAGAGGGCCAGGTCCAAAAGAGGGTGGCGTTCGGAATTCAGGTCATTCGTGTAGACAAAATGAAAGCAAGTCTGAAAGGGGCATGATTTGGAATGATCTAGAAAACTTTGGATTTTTTGAAGAAAATTCTTAATGTTTCATATTGTTAATACCTTGAAAATTTGTTAAATGTCAAAAGCCTTATTACTATTTTCAGATTCTTTCAATAAACAGACTTGTTTAAAAAGTTGGATTGAGTTACAACTTTTATTTGGTTCTTTGGTGTCCCGGCCCCGGGCTTCCGGATCCTGCGGACACCCTGAGGACCCTGTGGCGGGCACGGAGAGGTGGGTCCCGCCCAGGCAGCCTCCACCTTGAATCCCTCCCCACGTGCCCCCTCAGCCTTGCCTTCGGCCTCTGCCCTGTGGGCGCAGAGCTCAGGGCGGTCCTGCCCGCCCGCAGCAAGGACTGGCTCCCAGGAATGAGAGCGGGGGCCCCGGGGGCTGTGAAGTCCTCCCCGCAGCTCAGTCCAGGCCCGTTGAGGTTGGGCAGGCCGAGGATGCGGGCAGACCCATGTGCCAGACGCCAGGTCCCCCCGCCCCCTGCGGAGGCCAGAGGCCCAGAGCGGGCAGCTGAACCCTCCCCCAGAGCATCAGCTTCCCGGGCCCTGCATGACCTTGGCCTGTGCTGCCCCGGGACCGCCTGCACATGGGGGGGGGGGGGGGACGTCACCTTACTGCTCAGGTGTCTGCTGTCCCTGGGCTGGCCTCTGCCGACAAACATGGCACCGGGGTCAGTTTGCACAGGTGTCCCGGGCAGCAGGGCGGGACAGCTGCTGGAATGCAACCCTGGCGTCCGGGGCTGCTGCAGCCCAGAGGTTCTCGGGATTCGAGCCGGCAGTGTGTGTGGGCCCCCGGCCGCGCCTTGTCCCTCAGGTGGCAGGGGGCCCACTCTGAGGGCACGGCCAGAACCAGCTGGCCAGAAGGGCCGGCTCACTGGTGCGTGCTGGTTCTGCCCACAAGACCACACGTTCCAATAACGGCTGTTGACGTGTGAGCCTTGGACCTTCCCGCTTTGGGGAAAGGAGGGTGGGGGGCACAGAGACCATAGGCCAGGTGCCCCAGGTCACCTCCTGACCGCGCTGTGAGCCACTTCCGTGGGCTCCGGGCTCAGGCCGCCGCAGGTGTCCAGTCTTCAGGGCGGCAGCCTTGGAAACCCCTTCCGGCCTTTGCCGGCTGCTTAGGAGGAGCACAGGCTCAGACCCCACGCCGGGCCTCTGCTGCGGGTCCCACCTGGCCGGCGCCCCCCGTCCCAGAGCCGCCACTTCTGGCACATTCTCCTTCAGAAGGATCCAGGCCAGATCTTGAGCGTTTCTCAGAATCATGGAAACAGAGGTTTTGGTGGGAAGAGCCGGGCAGGGTTGAGGATGGGGTGGCGCCGGGGAAGGAGACACTTTGCGCGGGCCGTTTGGCCAGCACCCCTCCCTTGGAGGCCTCCGCAGACGCACAGAGGACAGAGGGAGGTCTCGAGCTCAGCCCATGGCTTCCTGTGAGCACCGTGAGGCCAGGTGTGGCCCCTTGCGCAGCAGCACTGCCCCCAGACACCGGCCTGACAGCAAGGGAGCCGCCCCCCAACCCTGCGGGTTTCCTTCTAGGACTTCAATGCCGTGGACCCCAGACGTGAACCCCGGGGACAGAGGCTGCAGGCGCCCCCACCAGAACGAGCAGAGGTAGGGGAGGAGGAGCAGGAAGCCCAGGACAGGGGTCACGCTACAGGGCATGGGGAAGGGATACCCAAAGGGCTCCCATCGCCATGGGGACACGGGCAGTTTTCCAAACCAGCTGCTGGTCAGTGCCTCCTGGCAACCTTGGCAGGGGACCTGGTGGCACAGGACCAGAGTCCTCACCCTTTTTCCCACCCAATGAACATGACCCAGGGCCTTCGCCTGCACTTCCCGCTACCCTCACTGTCATCTGGGAACAGGCTCCTCTGGGCCGGCAGGTGGGCCCATCAGACCGGGGCCTAGACCCAGACGAGGCCTGGCGAGAGGGGGGAGGGCTAGGAAGCCAGGAGGAGGTGCGCACGGCGAAGCCCAGGCATCTGGAGGCACCCAGGACGGTGGTGGAGCAGAGCTTGTGTGGACACGTGCCTTCCTGCTTTCTAGAAAATCACTCTAACTTTTTTTTTAATGTTTATTGTTGACAGAGCACACGGAGGGGAGGGGCAGGGAGAGGGAGACACAGAATCCAAAGCAGGTCCCAGGCTGTCAGCACAGAGCCTCACGTGGGACTCGAACCCATGACCTGTGAGATCATGGCCTGAGCCGAAGTCAGACGCTTAACCAACTGAGCCACCCAGGCGCCCCTAGAAAATCACCCTTTAGGGATGTCCGGGGGGCTCAGTCGGTTAAGCCTCCGACTTCGGCTCAGGTCATGACCTCACAGCTCGTGGGTTCGAGCCCCGCGTGGGACTCTGTGCTGACAGCTCAGAGCCTGGAGCCTGCTTCACATTCTGTGTCTCCCTCTCTGCCCCTCCCCACCCCAAGCTCTGTCTTTCTCTGTCTCAAAAATAAAATAAACATTTAAATAAAAGAAGAAAAATAAAAAATAAGGAAAATCACCCTTTAAACACCTTCCAAGTCCTGAAGGGAGAATGAGTTGTCAGAAAGGGGTCCTAGAGGTCAGGAGAGCCGTGTCCCGCATTGTAGAGGGAGGCCGGGCCTGGGCGGAGCCCCTGACGCCCCAGCTAGAGCTTGGTAGGCCGGCTTCAGGGGAGCCCCGGCTTCAGGCCTTTGGTCAGGTCTCCTCCTTCATGACGACTGTGTCCTGATTCATGTCTACACTGGCATGAAATGGGAGTGTGCAAATTAGCAGAGGCATTATTTAAATAGCCCCATTTGCAGCTGAGCAGAGTATGGAGAATCCTGGCCAGTCTGTATTCTTTCACCCAAGAATACAGTTAAAGGAAGAAGTCGCTGTGCTCTCTGTCCTGAATGACCCTGTGACACGGCCCCGTGGTGAAACTGCTCTCGTGCTCCCTGAAGAGGCAGCAGTTTCCTCTGACTGTTTAGAGACAAACCGCGGACAGGACTAAGACAGGGACGGGACACCCACTCTGGAGCGGGTCCATGGGGCGCGGCGTCCTCGCGCGGCGGCTGGAGGCCCAGACGGCACGGCTCAGAGGCCGACTGGAAGCCCAGGAGGGAGGGGAAGGACGCCAGAGTCACATGACATCGTTTCAAAACTGTTTCCCCAGACAAAACCTAAGAGAGATTTTGCTGTAAAACTTTTGAGTTCTTATAAATTTGCTTTTGAAATTATTTGGCCACAAATGACTCACTGACCCAAACCCAGGACCACTGGGCAGTCATCAAGCATCTCAGGGGTTTGTGCAAAGAAAAACCTACCGTGTGAACTTTATTCGTAAGGACGGGATGACGAAGGCAGCGCCATCGTATGTCCGGAGGCAGGTGAGGAAGGGAAGGGGAATTTCACTTCTGCTTGCTTTGTGTGTTTGTCACTTCGGGGCCAGGCCGCTGGCCAGCCCTGGCCGCTCCCTGCCCCACCTGCTCGGCCCTGCAGATTCACCCAGGAAGAGCCTGGCCTCCAGGCACAGCCCACTAACTAGTCCGAAAGAGAAAATATACTAATTTCAGAATTATACTTGGGGGGCGCCTGGGTGGCTGAGTCAGTTAAATGTCCGACTTCAGCTCAGGTCCTGATCTCGCAGTCGTGGGTTCGGGCCCCGCGTCGGGCTCTGTGCTGACAGCTGGAGCCGGGAGCTGCTTCAGATTCTGTGTCTCCCCGTCTCTCTTTGCCCTTTCCCTGCTTGTGCTCTCTCAAAAATAAGCAAACATTTAAAAAAAATTTTTTTAATAAATTATTGTTTTAAGTATACTTATTTATTTTGAGAGAGAGCATGAGCAGGGGAGTTGCAGAGAGGGAGGAAGAATCCCAAGCAAGCTTAACATTGTAAGCGTGGAGCCTGATGTGGGGCTTGAACCCACGGACGGTGAGATCAGGACCTGAGCTGAAGTCAACAGGTGGACGCTTAACTGACTGAGCCACCCAGGCGCCCCCAAATACACGAATTTTAAAGCACGAACAAACTTTAAAAAATGGGAAGATTCCTTAAAGAAAACAAAAGAAAGTTAGAAAGGCTGGGTGGTTCAGTCAGTTGAGCACCTTACTCTTGATTTCGGGCCAGGTCACGACCTCCGGATTCCTGGGTTTGAGCCCCCAGGCTCTGTGCGGCGCAGGGCGGCTGCCCGGGGGTCTCTGCGCCTCTCCCGCTGGGCTCGCTCTACAAACACACACGTACGTAAGAGAAGGGGACCCTAACAGCACTCACGGCCGGACCCGCGCTCCTGAAAACTATGTAAATCATGCGGCAGGTCACGGGTGCAGCCCAGCCCCCCGCTCGTGGCCTTGGGTCCCAGGGGCGCCCGACGCCTGCGGGACGAACGGGCTCCCCGCGTCTTCCTCTTCTAAAGTGGCGCAGATCGGCCTGGATTTGCGGTCCCTCCAAATCGAAACCTGATCAGCGGCCCCAAGGGGAAACCAAAGGCCCGGCCCCCAGACCAACGGGACCCCACGGCACATCCCCCACCCGGGCCGCGGGGTACGGCCCGCACCAGGACAGTGGGGGGGGGGGGGCACGACGCCTAGCACACACCCCGCAGTCAGGGCCGCGGTGGTACGGCCCGGACGCCCCCGCCGCACCCCTCCCGCCCGGGCCCCTGCACCCTCCGCCTGGGCCGCGATGGTAGGGTCGGGACTAGACCAGTCCTCGGGGGTCGCCGTCGCCCGGCAGCTCGGCCGCGGCCCCAGTTCCGAGGTGGCGGCGGGGAAGCCCTGGGGCCGGGACCCCGAGGAGGGCGGGGCGCGCGGCCTCGGGGGCCGTTGTCGGCTCTGGGCGCGTCACTTCCGGCGCGTCGCTTCCGGCCGGGGGCGGGCACCTCCTTCCGAGGTGCGGCCCGCCCCCGGCCTGGCGGCCGCGGAGAACGGGGCGGAGGGACTGGGGCCGCCCCACGGCGAGGCGCTGCCCGCCCGGCCCGCGCTCCACACCGACCGGGCGGAAGGGCCTGCTCGGCCCTCCCGCGATGCGGCCTCTCCTACACCCCAGCCTCGCGCCGAGCCCTCGGGGCGTCGGAGCCCACGCTTCGCGGCCCCCAGGCCCCTTGCCAGGCGGCCCCGCTCGTTTCCCCGGAGGCCGCCCTCTCCGGCGCGCGGTCCGCGGCCCACCTTAAACGCCGCGCGCCCTTAAGGCCCCGATGTGAGGCGGGGTCGCCAGGTGTCGAGAAGGCGCCGCGTCCCCCGCCCGCCCTGCCCCGCCATCTCGCCCCTTCCGCGCACCCCGAAGTCAGGCGGCCCCTCCCCGAGCCCTCCTAGTGGGGTGGGCGCCTTGTCCACGGCTGCGAGCGGCCCGCGCGGCGGTCGCCGATGCTCGCCCCCCCCCACCCCGGCTGCGCACGGAGACCCCGCGCTGGCTGCCGTCCCGCCGCCCCGCTGCCCCCGGTGGGTGGAGAGGCCGCGGCGCGGGCAAGGGACCCCTGGTCCCGCTGCACGGCGTCCCGTTCTGCGCCCCGTCGGAGAGGAGGGGCCCGGGCGCGCTCGCGCCCGGAAGGCTCCCCCAGGCCTCTAGCTTCCGGGCTCACGTCGGGGTTTGGGGCGTCCTCGATGCCTCTGGTCTTTGTCTAGGGGTGGGTGGCCCCTTTACGCGGAAAACGCAGTATAAAACAAACGGTAAAGGTCGCCTCCGATGGTCGCCTGTCGCTCTCGGGACCCGAGCCCGCCCCGCCGGCCTGCTCCCGGTCCCTGTCCTCCGAGAGGCCTCCTGGCGCGCCCCCGGGGCCTCCGCACCCGCCGCGCCCCGGCTCTGAGACCCCCCGCGAGCCCGGACTCGCCCCCCCAAAGCCCGCCTCGCGCACCCTCGCTGCCAGGCCATCGGGAGGGGGTGCGGGGCAGCGGGCGTGGGTCGTGGCCTCGGCCCCCGAGCTTCCGGCGCGTTGTGCCCCCGAGGCGGGCACGGCCCTGGATCGAACCCAGGTAAATCCCCGGGGCCTCAAGGCCGGTCGCCCACGTATTTCTCGGCATTTCTTCTGCCTGGCAGCTTAGAAAACTCCGTTACAAGGGCTGCTTCGTGCCCGGTGCGGGTTGTGTCGGGCGGTAACGTGAGGGGGACCTTGAGGCCCCGGCTGACTTGTGTCACGCGGCTGTGACACGGGGAGGGCGAAACCCTGTCTAGACATGGAGTTTTTGTGCGGTGGCTTTTAAAAAGTCGTTTTTTTAATGGAGTGGAATGTACTTTACCAAAAGTATTTGAACCTGCAAGAAACATTTTAAAGCAGAACGAAACCACATTAAATAGTATGAAAAGGGAAATAGGCTTGTAGATTAAAGAAATCCACTCTCAATGTAAACACATTAGAAAATGGAGAGAAACCAAACAAAACCCCAAACGCTAGTGAACGTGAGACTCCGCCTCCAGGAGGTGAATCCGCCTCCCAGAAGTGACCTAGTAGATGTTCTGGACTGTTTGTGCTTTTTCTTTAAATGGGAGCATATCGTACAAAGGTCTTAGAACTCTGCTGTCACTTAATCTATAACAGTTTTTTTTTTTTTTGTTTTTTTTTTGTCAAAACTCATAGGCCTACCTTATGTCACTTTGGTAATTTGCCAGAGTTTATTACATACGTGTTCCTTCTCGGATGCTTGGACGGTGTCCAGCGTCTCAGTCTTAAAAGCAAAGCTGCCTTAACAACACGTCTATTCTCTACCTACAGAGGCCCGACAAGACCTTTGTTAAATTGTTTCTTCAGGATAAATTCCCAGAGATGGAATTTTTGAATTATACCGTGTCAGAACTGGTAGAGTTTCAGTACATTTTATCTAAAATGCCCTGGTGAACGGTTTGAACGAGTCTAGATGTCCTTACCAAGCACTTGAGAACATCTTGAGCTGTTTGTTCTAGAACAGGAATTCTTAACCTCAGGCTAATGAGCCTTACAGTTTAGGAGTCTGCAAAGTTGGATGGGGAAATAGAGGCCTTTATTTTCATTAACCTCCAGCTGAACTTTTCTTCAGTGGTGAACGTACCACGGTGCCGTTAGCAGGTGACACAGCGCCCTTGGCTGGGTCTCTGTTTTGGAGTCCAGGCACCTTCCCAGCAAATCTGGGCCCCTCACAGCAAAGTTGAACAGAGGCCGGCCCCCCAACTTAGGACATGCTGTGGGGCGCGGCACTCATACGGAGTCAAGATACCACAGGCTTGTTTCTTGCAGTGTGTAGACCTAGTTTCCTTTCGGTCCGGTGCGGGAACATTCTAAGGACAGCTCCGGGCAGGGGAGAAGTTAAGAGCTGATCCCTGGCCTCCTAAAGGCGGTTCATTAGCCACCTACTCCATGCTGGGCAGAAAAGGTTATGGTTTCGTTCTTGTTATTTGTGCTGTAATCTGAGAGGGAGGGAGTTCAGACCTTTCTCGGCAGTGGCCTGGGGGCAGCCAGGGCCCCACATGCCCGTGTCTAGCCCGCTCCACTGTTGGCTTTTAAAGTCAATTATTTGTCAGATTAGGGCGGCTGACCTTTAGTTTTTGCAGGACAAGAACTGCTTCTCTCTGAAAGCTGCTTGAATCACGTGGCCTCAGAGAGAAGAGGCCGTGGCAACACAACTGGAATCCAGGAAGGCAGCTGTGTCCACCGGCACTTGGGTGAGTGGGACCTGCTGAGCGCGGGAGCAGCTGACTTCCGGCTTTCGTGTGCGGTGCGCAGCACAGCTTCCCGGGGCCTTCGCTGCATCCTGGGGCGCGTGTTCCGTTCAAGATTCAAACTCCAGGCTATTTACTGGTGGCAGACGTTGAGTTCATTTGATCCATGGTGCCAAGAGCTTCGCGTCACTCGCCTCCGTGTATTTTCTGTGGGTTACTAATGTTTACTGTTGTCTGACGTTGCGTTGTGTGAAAATTCCACGACTTCTGAATTCATTCTCCTGTGGAGAGACCGTGGGTCTCTGCCGTGGACGTTCTCACATGTGTCTTGTGCCCACGAGCTGAAGGAAGTTGCGCAGGGTGCAGCGATCATGGTGAAGGTTGCCAAAGGGTGCTTTTGATGTTCTCATTCTCCCTCCCCTTCCACCCGCCCGCTGGCCGAGTCCTGTAGGGAAGGGCTTCCTCGTCTTCCCTGCTGATCAGCTGGGTGCTTGGGTGCTAATTCTATTCAGGGGCTTCTAATCCTGTACTGCCACCATCTACTTTCTCTCTCACGCTGCCCCTGGGTTTCTCCCGAGGGCGTTCCCTTGCGCTCCCTTCTGTGTCCTCTCGACGGCCCCCGTCATTGTTTGAGCACTTCCTTTGCTGGCCCAGCTAATGCCCCAGCCCCGGAATGGGCCATGTCTCTGACGAGGCTGCTTCATTGGGTGGTGGATGAGACTTAGAAACAAAGACTGGGCCAGGGCGCTCGCTGCTGCCGGGGTCTCACTGCCTCTGGGCCCTCAGTGGCCGGATTGTGCAACAGAGAGGCAGAGGTGTGTGTGTTGTGGACGCGCACGGTGTCTGGGCCTCCATCTGTCTGAACCCTCGGGGGCCGCTGCCCGATTCCTCCGCTCCCCTCAACACCACCGTCCGTTCCCCCCTCCCCTCTCTCTGCGTCTGTGCTGTGTCTGAAGACACCCCGAGATCTCGCTCCCACTAGCTGCCGTATACTCCCTTACTGCTCAACCCAGAACTCCTGACCCCTGACTCAATAAAGAAGCCTACTATTTAGAGTTCAGTGTTTGCTTAGGATTCTTTTTGTCTTGAATCTGAGCACATATATTTTGTAATTTTTTTTTTAATGCTTTATTTATTTCTAGGAGAGAGAGAGAGACCGCGTGAGCAGGGGAGGGTCAGAGAGAGAGGGAGACACAGACTGAAACAGGATCCAGGCTCTGAGCTGGCAGTCAGCACAGAGCCCGACGCGGGGCTCGAACCCGCGAACCGCGAGATCATGACCTGAGCGAAAGTCGGATGCTCAACCGACTAAGCCACCCAGGCGCCCCATTTTGTAATTTTTTTAAATGTTTATTTAGTTTTGAGAGAGAGAGGGAGACGCAGAATGTGAAGCAGGCTCCAGGCTCAGAGCTGTCAACACAGAGCCCGACTCAGGGCTCAAACTCACAAACTGAGATCATGACCTGAGCTGAAGTCAGACGCTCAACTGACTGAGCCACCCAGGCGCCCCTGAGCGCATATATTTTATTTATTAAAAAAATTTTTTTTAATGTTTTATTTACTTTTGAGAGAGAGAGAGAGAGAGACAGCATGAGTGAAGGAGGGTCAGAGAGAGACACACACACAGAATCTGAGTGTCAGCACAGAGCCTGATGCGGGGCTCGAACCCACGAACCGTGAGATCATGACCTGAGCCAAAGTCGGACGCTTAATCGACTGAGCCACCCAGGTGCCCCAGCACATATATTTTAAAGACTGTGTTCAGAAGGTACTTGGGTGAGTTCTTTATTGCCACTCTTCAGTGTGACTATGTTATTTGTTTCATTTGTGGTTTCTCTCATATATTTCTGTTTGTCTCTCGCTTTATTTTTTTTTAAGCATTTATCTTGAGAGCGAGTGTGTGTGCTTGTGTGTGTGCTAGCGGGAGAGGGGCAGAGAGAGAGAGAGAGAGAGAGAGAGAGAGAGAGAGAGGGAATCCCAAGCAGGTTCCACACTGTCAGCCCGGAGCCCAACGTGGGGCTCAGTCCCACAAACTCTGAGATTGTGACCTGAGCCAAAATCCAGAGTGGGACGCTTAACCGATTTAGCCACCCAGGCGCCCCCATATCACACTTGATAAATTGTATTCATTGTGAGGAGGGGGCCTAAGGCAACCTGGGGGCAATGTACGAGCTAGCAGGTCCCCGGCCAGGTGGCCAACGTGGGACATTCCTCAGAACAGAAGAAAGGGAGGAAAACAGTCGGTAGCTGATAGAGGTCTCAGTCATACAAGACACAAGTCTCCATCCTTTTACAAATATCTTAGTAAATTACAAGAAAAAGGCAATCTTATCAACAGCCTCATCTCCAGAGACCTGTAGACTCAGTTTCCTGGAGCTCCCCCTCCCCCAGCAGCTCGGGGACACAGGCAAGACGGAAGGCGCCGGTGGGATTAAATGTCCTTCCCTGCGGCCCGGTGGCAGACCCTCGAGACCCGTTCAGAGCAGAGCAGCCCCCCGGGGCCCCCGCTGACCTGACGTCAGCGCCGGACTGGAGGGAGGACAGCCTTGGCCTGACGACAGCAAGGCCGCCCGTAATCCGTGGGTCTTCTGTGCGTGAGAATCCCTTCGGAAACTTCCTCTCCTTTCCTCCCCCAGCTCCGCAGTGTGTAGCCAGTCACTCTGCACAAGCCGGCGCAGCTCTTCCTGCCCATGGGTCCTGTCCCTGCGCTTTAATAAAATCACCTTTTTTTGCGTCAAAGACGTCTCGAGAATTCTTTCTTGGCCATCAGCTCTGAACCCCTCTCGCCCCAAAACCCCGTCAATTTGACTATTTGGGGTTTTAAGCGTTTAAGCATTCACATAGCTCCAGAAGTCACAGCTGCCTGGACAGGTGCACTTAAGAACTTGTCCCCTCCCGTCCCCGCTCTGTGCCCTCCTGGGCCACCAGACAGTCTCCTTAGTCTTGGGCTTACCTTTCCGCATTTCTTGTTGTTCAATGTAATTTTAATATTGTCTTTTTTTTTTAATGTTTTATTTATTTCTGAGAGAGAGAGAGAGAGAGAGAGACAGCATGAACAGGGGAGGGTCAGAGAGAGAGAGGGAGACACAGAATCTGAAGCAGCTCCAGGCTCCGAGCTGTCAGCACAGAGCCCGACGCGGGGCTCGAACCCACGAACCGTGAGATCGTGACCTGAGCCGAAGTCGGACGTTTAACCCACTGAGCCACCCAGGCGCCCCTAATATTGTTGTCTTGTGCAGGATCCATTTTCAGCCTGCCTGCGTCAAAACCTTCCCTCCGTGGCGTTCTGTGGGTTGCCGTGGCAACCACATGTGTCTTCATGTAGATTTCTTATTTATTCTTTTTAAGGTGTATTCTGATTCCAGAACTCAGAATTTCTGTTACTTCTCAAAATTTTGCCTTCTTTGCCTCTTTATTTAAGGATTTTATTTTTAAGATATCTCTACACCCAATGTGAGGCTTGAACCCACAACCCCAAGATCATGAGTTGCACATTCCCTCAGCTGAACCAGTTGGGGTCCCTTCTTTGTCTCTTTAAATAGCCTGTCTTCTCTATTTTACTCTGCTGGAAATTTCATTCTTCTTCTTTTTTCCATGCTTGGGTTAATGTCTTTTTAATATTTTAATTTCATGTCTCTGTGCAATTGCATTCCAGGTAATTTCCTCAGATATTTTTTCAATAACTTTTTATTCAGTTGTAATCATTTCTGTTTAACCCATCGAGTTGTTTCTTATTTCAAATTTTTCAAACTTTTTATTTTGAGAAATAGACTTGCAGAAGAAAAAGCTTTAGCTGAATACCCTTCTCCCAGGCCCCCTCCCGCCAACGTCTTACATGAGCTTCGTTTGATTTAGTAAGCAGTCCGGGAGTATCGTCCCAGATCTGCACATCGGGACAAAACCACTGTCTAATCTGCAGACTGTATTCAACTTCGGCCAAGAGGCCACTGGTGTCCCTTTTCTGGTGGGCAGTCCTGCCTGGGGACAGTCCCACGTTGCATCCCGCCACCGTGTCCCTGTGGTCTTGACCTTTGTGGTGTGTGTAGTTTTGGGTGTGTCTGACATATGCTCGTGGCTAGGTTTGCAGTCGTGGGGCCATGGGCCAGAGCGCCACACCGACACCGCATTCGCAGTGGATCGGGGCAAACGCGGTCTCTCATCGCTAGTGATTTCAGCTTTGGCTGCTCCCTTCGGGGGCCAGTGTCTCAGGGTTAAGTCAGGCCTCCCGCTCGGGACGAGTCTGCTCGACGCCAGCACGGCCTTGCAGCTCTGCCGGCGGGGGCTCCTCGCTGGACATTCCGTTTTCCCGTCTACCCCATGGCATCTTGGGCTGGTTCCCCTATATGAGCGTCCTGCCCTTTATAACTGCAGCCCTCAGGCTCCACCTGTCCCTCCCTGGAGCGGCCAGGCCCCTGCTCCTCCCCCACTCGCCACCTTTGATCTTTGATCCGGATCCATTGATCTCAAACAGCCAAGGTTTTGAGGCCTGAATTGAGGAAGCCTTTCTCCAGCAGAGCAGATTGCTTCTTCAGGCCCCGGTAGCTGTGGGTGTGGTTGGGAGCAGGACCCAGACAGCCTTCCAGACTGAGGGCCCACCCACTGTGGGCACCCCGGCTGTTTTGGGGGGGGGTCCTGGCCTGAGTCGGAGCTTCCTAGGAGCCTCTGGTGAGATTTCGCTTCTCCTGCCCCCTTCTTGATTCCCAAGGGCCCTCTCCTGCTTGCATCTCCTGGGGCTGGGCGCCCCATCTGGTACCCCCTTCCGGGGGCCGGCCTGCCTCCCGCTCTGCCAGCCTTCCAGCCCCTTCCTCAGGTTTCCCGTCTTGCGCATCTCCCAGCCGGCTGCGCAGCTGCACTCTCTATTCCGGCCTCTCCTCAGGCCTTGACTTCCTCACTCAGCGTCTCCCCTCCTCCTGTCAGTTCTCCAGAGAAGCCGCCTCCGGGGCCTGCCTGGAGCTCGGCCGCTCCGTGCGCCGTCCCTGCTTCCCCGCAGGCCGAGGCCCACT